TTTCAGCTTAAAATTACTTCTTTCTGGCAAAAAAAGTCGAAGTATTGGTTCTTACTTGGTCAGCGATGTTATGCTGACATAAGACGATACAGCAGAATTTACTAATCTACAGACAATGAGCCAAACACAAAAATAAGGAGTGTGGATTTACGAAAGTGCTCAAACACCGAGTAGTAGACACAAGAAGAGATGACTCCATTAATTGAAGATGTCTCCCTACTCAGTTGCAACCCATCAAAGTCATATAAGCTCAAGCATTTATAGATCTATAAATAATAGAATACATCACGATTTCAAATAATTCTTGCAGTAGAACAAGTAACTGCGCTGAGCTTATATGCGATTGGATGTTTCTGATAGCGATTCAAAAGAATCATATGATGTGAAGTAAGGGAAAAAAGGGGTTGTGTAGAAAAAAGTTTGGAACGGAAAAATGAAAAGTTGCGTTCCTGCATCCACTTCCTTTTTGTGCTTCAATTGTGGTCACCTTTCTCAATTCATTTCTAGCTGTTTTTCAAACTTTCTTTGTGTTCTGCGGCGGCGAGTGGCTGACAACATGCATAATGCAAAAGTGAGACCATCGCACTTCACCAGACAAACTTTGCAAGCGAAGCTCACAAGCGGTTACATAACGAGGAAACTTCCACAAAACTGTGACTTTTTAAAATTGAAGTAATAAGCGTCTCATAAATTTTTTCCTGATTTTAACAAACACAAAATTGTTTTATATTGGCAGCGAGAGCAGCTACAATGGTACAAACACATGGTCGTACTTCTCAATGCATAGTGTATATAATCACATGTGTGGGAGGAACCCAATACCATTAAAGGCGAAGTTTGCCATCTCACCCAAACATTTCCTTCATTTCTAAGAAAAATAAAAAAATTTTTAAAAAAAAATAAAAATACGAGAATTGTATAATAAAATGTCCGATGTTCCAAGTATTTGTTTCGGTGAGTTGAGAATCTGTAGGATTTTTTTTGAAACGGAGATTTAAGCTGAATTTTGTTTTTGATTACTACCAAAGTTTGGCTATAAACTCTTTACGTGGAATACGATTCAGGCGTATGCTTGATGACCAGCTTGTAAACTTTGCTTCGCTCTATCGTACGGTAACTCAAGCGCACTCTATAAAAAGAAACAAAGGCTATTCTGGAAATGGGAAAAAAATTATGAGACACCCCTAGTTTGTGCAAAGAAACGCAATACACATTATTATAGTCGTATATAATGGCCTCTACGTTTAGTTGAAAAGGAAGCCAGGTTATCCTTGCATATCTAGAAAGGCATGATAAAATAAGACTCAGTTGCATCTGCCAATTTTGCTTAAAACCCCTATGCTAAATAGAAGTTCTCTAAAGACGGAAAAGATGCTTATGTTGTATGCGCAGCATCCGTTCCTTACAGCAAACTAAATATTTCTCAGGATAAAGAACTGCTCGAGACAACGACAAAGTTTCAAACAGAAATTTGTGATCTCTGGGTTTGGATCCTCAAGTCGACGAGTTTACTGCTTGAAAAGATCACTAAAATTCATGTGCACCTGTTGTTCAAGTGGAAGGAACAGCAATGGGAGAATGTCCGCACTTTTCCTCTATTACGTACATTTGGCAGAAACGATCTTTGCTCTTGACGTTAGGATTAAGCAATAAAATTCGGCTTGCGTTAAATCTGGCATTACGTCAGATGAACTAACGATCAATGTTTGCTGAGAAAGCTCATCGAATTAAGAAGACTATATTCTAGAAAATCAACCGCATTGATGACCTACAGATTATGCTGCATCCACTCGCAAAACAATTGATGAAACTGATTTTTAGAGCCTAAAATTTATGTGTTATATAGTTTTCGGAAATCTGCATACACAATCAGACGCGATGACTCATGCAATGTCATGCAAAAAAAATGGATATAGTAGTCATAGTACGTGAGCTAGAAAAATGAGTCATTGTGCACTGGTTTTTTTTTTGAGGCATGATCCACCATGATGATGTAAATACATCTCCGTCAGCTGATATCATTAACTTTCCACTCGGCATTTCACTATGTTATAGACTGTGGAGCTTTTCGCGCACTTGTGCAACTCCATTTTCTCAAGTTTGGTTTATGCTTTGGTTCAGTTACCTACTGCATTCAGTTACATCTCAATATTGCCAGACGAGATATTGTGAAATTTATAATGAATGTATGTAATTCATACAGTGCCTACCATAAGGTGGCGACTTTGCTTCCTGGGCAAAGGTTTAGACACGGAATTGAAAGCCGTTAAGGACCTGCCGTCAGGTCTAACAGGCAATACATAAAGCTTCGGTCTCAAAGGCAAAGATCGTATTAGGGTAGAACAGCCGCAACAATTTTGGTGCAACGTTGTTTGACTAACAATGAGCACATAAAATCGTTCAAAGCAGAAACTCAGAGCGTATGCCCAAAAAAGAGCGCTGTGACAGTGAAACTTGCAGAATATGTGTTTATGCTCTTTGAGAGCATGGTTTTTAAGCTCCGAAATTTCTCATTGTATCAGCAATTAAGCTGAAGACCGCCTAGAGCAGGGCTCGGCACAGATGGCTTACAAGCAAGCTGGATATCGTTTTTGGGACAAAAAGCAAAGGGGGTTTCGTTTTTGTGGCCGAAGGCACACGCAAAAGTGGCGACTTTTTTTCAGTCGACGTTTCCTTTTTTGGAGATTTTTTTAGGTTTTTAGAGGAAATATGGTTGAGGGTCAAAGGGGACTTCGTAAAAATTTCAAAATTCAAAGGGAACTTCGTTTTTCGCATTTTCATCTAGCCACCCCGAGCCCTGGCCTAGAGGTTTGAAATTTGAGAAGGGCATGAGTTTAAACTTCTTTTCCTGCTTCTCTCAAAAGCCCGATATCGCGTCTTTTACTGTTCTTGAACATTTGATGGTCAAGAGAAGGTTCAAAGATACGATGAGAAAATGAAATCATCGGGTCATTTCATAAGTTCCCAGCGTTACTACTATTCGAATAGGTAATTTATACCAAATATCAACCAATAATGTATTATTCGCTACAGCGTTGAACCTGCTGCACTGCAAGACTGTCAATCGTATTTTTTTTTTGAAGGACAGCGCGCCTGAAACCAGCTTTTGAACCCTTCTTCAAGGATAAAAAACATGCATCATTCAGTTTGCGAGATAAGGGAACATGTGGTAACTTGGTAGAAAGGGTTTCAAAAAGTTCTTTGAATACGAAGTACCTTTTAATCAAGTCTTGAACACTTTTGACGTAATTTGCCACAGAGTCATGTGTCATGGATAGCATTCACTTAGTACTTCTATTGGGACTTTTCCGCAGTATTACCTCATTTTTACGGTGCACTTGAGATACTTACAGATCGAACGGTTCTTATCCAGCAACTCTTAGTGCAGAACGCCCCAAAAGCTTTGGAATTTAATTTTCTTATGTTTTGGAGAGCCCTGTTCAAGACTCAAGCCATTCGGAGACAGCCAAGCCCTTTTGAAAACTGAGACGGAGGAGCAGGCTGGCTTTCCATCAAAAATAGCAAAAAATTGTAAAGCATTATTAGTTTTTTTAATGTTATGGGATTCTTGTGCGACTAACCCCTCTGCAAATAAGTGAGGACGAAAATGGAGACGCTAAGAATTTGCGAAACGACGTAATACATCTAATGTACCAAGCAAAAGAAGTGGAAGGCCTTGTGGCTTATTGGCCTTCGGTGACCATCTACATAGGAAAGGGAAACCAAGCAAGCCTTACGTGTTCTGCATCCGCGAGCATCCAACAAAAGCCTTATTGAAGTGATTGTTGGTAGAGATATATGCATATAGGCATAGACTCATTTGCAATTCACGATTTCTTACATCACCCCTCACAACAAATTTGCAGTACATCACAAACACTGCATCACTGCTTTATTCACATTGCTATTCAAGAAACATCTTCTTTAGGAGTGCCATTGTGCATATACCACACTAGCTGGCAAACCCGGCTCCGCCCGGCCCTGTCATTATTATATTCGTAATCAGCATGCTCGATTACCCCCGTGTGCCAACTCCTAGCCCCGTAGCTCAAATTTTGCAAAAAATCGATAAAATCGATATCGATCGATAACGAAAAGTAGCCTATGATACGCTTCCTGCCCCGAAGTATATGTGTGCCAAGTTTGGTCCAAATCGGTTCAGAAATAAAAATTTCTATTCCGCACATACGTACAGACATACAGACAGACATACAGACATTCAGCTTTATATATAAGATTGTTATTGATAGATGGACGGAGTGTGTCAAAATCACGAAATCGTTCTACGCCATATTCTAAGCTAGTACAGTCATGCAACCAAAGTCAAAGTAATGAAGTTTTTATAAAAATAAAGATGTTTTTTGCGGATATGTTTCTTGATCATATCTGTAGACGAAGCATTTCAACAGGACCGTGGAGTCACGCAAAAACTCAATGGGCTTTGATAAAAACCAGATTCTCGTAAGTGCCAATACAATTTATAGTCTGGCTAGAACTCCATTCTTTTCATCTCTTCTACGCTATTCTCATAAACGTGTAAGCTATCTACAATTATTTATCACCAACTGTTTCGAATGCTTGAGTTATCTATATGACAAAAAGCCCTTAGCTATACTAGAGATAGATAAGAGGGCTCAGTAAAAATTTCATGATCAACCACGTACATTTCGGCAATTATGCGGAAAGGATCTGTAAAATGACGAGATGCAAGAGTGTTATCGTTGTTAAGTATTGGGGCAGATATGAGCAATCCATATATAAATAAAGGCTGGCGAATGATGTTTACGTCTAGCATATTTTGAATCCTTCTAATCCATCCACGGTAGTCTCAGAATGAATTTATTGCGACAACAATGTACTAGCCAATGCCTTGGATCATGTGTTTTTAACGTAATAAACGATGAACTAACGTGAACTAATAACAAACAATTACTTAAGAGCTACAAATGTAAGCAAGAAATTTCCACACACAATGACGTAGCAGTAGAATCCCTTCAGATTCAGAGGGTGTCGAATATCGAAAGATGTCTAACGAAATTTACGAGAGCCGGCTTTCTGCCGAGAACATTTGGTAACCGTTGTGCTATACTGGCCAGAGGCGAAATGACGATGGAACGATTGGTAAGCAAGAAGCGAGCGAATCTAAATACTCTCACATAGTAATGAGGCGGTCGACAACTGCATCATAAACCTGCCGGAACTCCATTCTAATGTGAGCATATCGGATTTAGAAGAATGCAGCCTGACAAAAATGGCTTGTGGTGACATTCTCTGAGTAGGGATCGTCTTCCGTGTATGCTTCCGGTAGAAACTCTTTGATTACTGAAGGAAAAGCTTCTCGAACATTGGCTCAGCAAATGTGAGACCTCCATTATGACCCAGGGCAGCAGATTTGAAGGTAAATATAGTACCCATCGGTGCCAATATTCGCTAATGCGATTGCGCGTGGGACCGTCAGGGAGCGCCGAACGCGAATTATTTTGAACCTGCAACATTAGAGCCATACCTCCGATAGTCTAGAGACAGGGCGTCAAAAGTGAAGGTTGTTTGAACATCTGACGTCATAAATAGTGAAGGTTGTTTAAAGATGATCAGAGAAGAGAAAATGACATAAAACAGATATAAAAAGCAAAAGAGACTGCTGAAAACGAATAAAAACGCTGCAATGAGGCTTGAAATCTTTCATTTGGCGGCTTTTCAAGGTGCAAGTTTTCGCTTAAGGACCAGCAATTGCAACACGGGGTTTTGATTTCTGATGCGTCCTTTGAATTTTCACCCCCTCATTGACGTTCCTGTTTCCTGGGACGTTGTTTGGATTGTTGTGCTTATTGTTCAGAGCAACAATCGCCCAAGCTGGAAAGAAATCGATGCGAAAGCACTGAAACAGAACAAGGTAAAGAAAAACGCACTTTTTAGGATTTTTCGCAAAAAATTCCACCAGGATCGAAGAGATAAGGGCTGGGTAATTGTCTGCATTATAAACAGAAGCAAGATCTATAGAATGCACGAAAAAACCGCGTGAAAACAGTTAAACTAGGAGAAAACCAAAAGATTTTCGAAAACAAGGTTTTTGCTGGGTTTCTCGATCAAATCAAAAAATGTGGTTTTTGGGACGTTGTGAGCGTTAAAATAGAGATTACGAGCTTCAAAATGATATATAGCTTGCTAAAATTGGGTTCGAAACGACGAAGTAAAGGGTACCAGAACCAAATGCCCCGCGCCCGGCGTTTGGGGTAGCGCGCAGCGCACGGAGGCGCAGACGAGCAGCGGAGACAGACCAGAGCCGACGGGGCATTTGGCTCTGGTCGTAGATCTCCGCGGGGTCTCAACGAAACCCCGCAACATTATATATCATTCTGATCGCCATGACACGACGAGGAGAACTGACAATATCCCAATCTTTCAAAGTCACATATTAACGAGATAGACCAGCGTTTTCGTGCGCGACTCTCTGCGCAAGATTTAAGTGCAGTTTCTCGTCTTATCTAACTCCAACAGCTTTCCTAAACTTCTGAAACTCGATTTTGTTCAAATGAGAGGTTAACTAGTGAAATTTTGTTTTGAATTCTGGCGAAAATCCCACAGAAACCTTTTTTTAAGGTAAAAAAGGCTATAAAAACGCAAATTCTCGGTTTCGCTGAAATAAGCTAAAGATGTTATTCCCTATACTTGCATCATCAACATTCGTTTCGATATAATCAGGATAATAACATCAGGGGCGAAGCCCCGGACGACTTCTGTTTTTTTTCTAGGTGAAGGTTGTGTACCCTCATAGCCCTCAAAGTGAAGGTTACCGGAGTACGTGGCTCTATGTACCGAGGGTATGATTAGAGCCGACGTCCTCACTGAAACATTTCCATGTTTCTTAGAAGAGAGAACGAACAGAGTATGTTTGAGGAGAAATTTCAGACAAAATCGTTTCTAATCGATTTAGAGGTGCTTTACGCTCATTTTCACATTGCTGAAATATTTGTTGCATTCTCGGTAGGCTTTACTTCGCCATGAGGTTTAGAGTAACCTTATATATGAAGCTTAACATCTTTAGTCTGTACATGCGTGTATTGTGAATAAACATACGTGATCGAACGGCCCAAGTTTCGCGACGAACATAACCTGCGCTTTGTTGTCGGTCGGTGTCCACTGATTTTTTGACAATTGTGAAGCAAAATATCGTCTTTTTGGACTTTTGCATCGCTACAGTTGCTTTCCCAATAATTGAAGTCTGATTTTAGTATCAAAACTCCTTTACAAACATGTAGAAAGCTATTTCCTAGAAGTGGCGTTTATAAAGGTTCGCCACTATATTCAGAACTTTCAGAAGATTTTTCTGAAATGGCAGTTGACTTGCAATGACTAGGTACATTGTGCAAGCGTTTCCCAACGTACCTCTACAGTACTGAAAACAATGATGGTTCACTTTCCATGGTAAATTTCTTTGTACGTTGAAGTGTATACATTAAGTGTTACTGTTACCAAATGACCGGCGAAAGCTGGTCATATATGAGAATAGTCCTAGTCATATATGAGAATTATTAGCGATACATTTCATGCATTCTGTTGGACACCCTGACAAATCCTACAGGCTTTGCAAAAAAATGCAATGAACAAAGCTTGCGCTATATACCCCCACATCAATAAGAAGGATAACCTAACGTTTTGGCAGTGGCCATCTTTGGTTAAATTCTATGTGCCCTAAGCCGTGTTGAAAGTCACCGACCTAAAAACCCCTTCATTACTTCTTTGATAACATGTCCCAAAGCTGAACGGTGGAAACGAGGAGAGCGAGGAGGAGGGGAGGAGGGGGGAAGGGGTGCGGAACGGAAGTCCTCCGTTACTGATCATGGGTTTATAGGCTGCTGCATGACGAAGGCGCAATGAGACTTATTTATACTTGTATGTAATTAAAATAATTTTTAAAAATTTAAAAATTCAATTCAGCCTTATAAAAAAAATTTTCGGGGGCGTGGCTGACGCCACACCCCTTTTTCCAAAATTTTGGGGTTCTGGGTCCGCGAAAATTTTGAAAAGCTTTTCTGGTAATCGGAAAAAAATTTTTGTCGCGCCCAACCCCGAGCCGAAATTCTGGGTACGCCACTGATAGCATCCTGTCAGAAACTCGATGATGAAAGAAAATTCTACGCAAACTCTAAATGAGAAAATCAACAGGTCTCTCTCCACAAAGGAGAGTTCCGAGGTCGAAGTAGCCAATCACAATGGGGTGCTAATTTCGAATCTCCTTCCCTATTTCCAGAACTCTTCTTGGAAGGAGATTATGGACTTTATTTGCAGGAAAATTGCAAATGAGAGTAGAAAGGATCATCAACACCTAAGGATTTTGGATTGAAACGTACTCGGAACTGTTCATCCGTACTTAATGTGATGCTGACCCCTTTTGAATGCTATCTTGTAGCGCAAGCATTGAAGCATTGAACGATTGCCATCATTTGTAGTCACTCAAAACTATGCAAATTTTGATGATAAACAAACCTAAGACTTTCTTCCCAAAAGCCTTCTGCAGATAGGGAAGGCAGAGTTGAAATCAGCGCTCCAAGCTTTTTGTAACGGTACGCATCCTATGGTAACCAGCCACTTCGACTTCGCGACCGGTCCTTGTCAGAAAAAAATTACGCTTTCTGCTGTCAAAATTCGTCAGAAGTTAATGTGGAAAAACTGAAGGAGAATGTAGAATCCATGGATAGCATGTCTTCCATACGAGGCTGCTTCCCATTGCTTTCCTCCTGTTGTCGAAATCTCACTGGGTTACACGGTGATGTACTATCCGATTGAAACTCTTGACCGTTCCACGAGAAGAGGTACTCCTCTTTACAACAACGCAAGCAATTTTCGAATTCCTTTGGGGCACCGACTCTCCATAAAGACTTTCTATCAGTAGGAATAGTTTATGCAAAAGGATTAGTAAAACTTGCAATACTCACTCTTGCATTTTACTGCAACGCCTATTGATATGTTTCATCAAAATCACGAGTACTCGGGTAATTTCTTCCACATGTGATACCTGTGCAATTTAAGCTTTGTGATACGATAAGACCAAAAAGAACGTGATTCTAATAAGTGGATACCAAATAAACCGTTTGTAACATGGAAGAAATTACGATTGTTTAAAGACTGGAAACAAACATCCAGAAGCTCGATGAATTTCGCTAAAGCTCCGTTAACACGTTCCGGACCGCGAAATCGCGCGCGGCGAAAAGAGTGTATTTCCACCGTCGGCCAACAAAGGGACCCTATTTCTGGACTGTGTACTACATCTGTGATCAGCATTTTAGATAAGCTCCATACGCAAAATTCTGAGTGAATCGAAGTGTTTGAATTTTGTCGCTTGAGGACTTCTATGCTCCCTTGAAAGATAATAACAAGGACTCAGTTTCTGATAGTATCCAAAAGTGTCTATGTTGTACACGCTGCACATCAGTATTGAAACTACGGTTTTTCTCTTCGAAATCGGAGCAAAGAAAAGTTGCGGCGTCGCACGCGTCATTCGCGTCGCCGCACTTCGTTGCAACTGTTGTTCGATTTGCCCTGATATCTTCTAAACAAATATCAGCGACACAGCTCTACATAGTTATTTGGAAAGAGGGGCTTAGGCCTTTGACTTGATAACCTTGGACAAAAAGAAAACCGCCATTGTTCATCTGCACTGCGAGCCCCCCCCCCCCTCTTATGTGTTATGGATGACTAACCCTGGGATATCCGCTTCGAAGCCGAATCCTCGTGTTCCTGAGGTGAAACTGAGCTTCACCGCCCTCCTTTACTTGACTATGGGAAAATGCTTGATTAAACATGATAAGCAGGATCAATCAAAGGGTGTGGCACACGATCGCTGGTTACGACCCGCCCCCCCCCCTGAACTATAAACTCAAGATAGCATTACTTGAAGGCCCTGTCAAACATAATGGGCAACATATCCATAATTAGCATGTCAAATAACCCCTGTAGACAAAGTGTGAGCGAATTCTGAAGATTCAAGATACTAGGCTACCTAAGTGAAATGGCCAAATTCCAACATGGTTAACTTTGTTTCAGAGGTGAACTAGCTATCCGTTTTTGCATTCAAGACAAAGCACTACTTTTTCTTTGTCCATCTCAGGAATCCCGCTTCAGAAGACCTCCAAACTGTGGAATTAAAAGCCAACCAAAGTCTCATTTTTCCCATTTTTCGCTTTTAATGGCTGTGCTTTCACCAACTATTACTCAGAGCAAAGAAAACGAGTCAGGCTCAAATCACTCCTGTGAAAACTAGGAGATCTAGCCTATCGATTCATATAAATACGGTTTGCTAAAAAAGTTTTTGTGACATTTAATGGGGTGTGGCACACCCCCTTAAATGCTGTGGCTGTCACAGCTTTTAAGGGGGTATGCCGCACCCCATTAACTATATCAAAAAAACAATTTTAGCGGACATTATATATATGAATCGATAGCCTAAACCTCGTAGATTCCATGGGAATGTTTTAAGCCTGATTCGTCTTCTTAGCTCTGAGTAATATTTGGTGAAAGCACAGCCATTAAAAGCGAAAAATGGGTAAAATGAGATTTTGTTTGGCTTATAATTCCACAGTTTGAAGGTTTTTTGAAGTGGGATTTCTGAGGTGGACAAAGAAGGAGTCGTGCTTTGTCTTGAGTGCAAAAACGGATAGCTAATTCACCTTTGAAACAAAGTTAACCATGTTAGAATTTGGCCATTTCACTTAGGTAGCCTAGTATCTTGAATCTTCAGAATTCGCTCACACTTTGTCTACAGGGGTTATTTGACATGCTAATTATGGCTAGGATACGAATATCATGTTATCACTATTATCAGATTACCCAACTACGACCCCCTCCCCTTTTGACTCTTCAATACGACCCCCCAGGTGTGGCGTGTCGCACCCCACGCTTGACCCTGATGATAAGCCTCCAATTTCTTAGAATAACGTAAGCAAAATCGATAAAAGGACACAGAATTTTACTAAAAAGTATCCTAAAACCCTCTCCAGAGTTAAGAACATCTGTATGCAAAGATTTAGCCCAATCGCTTGAGCGGCGGGCGTTTCTTTAGCTCACATACCCTCCAAACAGACAGTTTTTGAGTTTTATATAAATAAAGATAGTAATCTTACAAGGGAAGGATCCACGCAGTGGCGAACCGAAATTACGTGCTATCATTAGATGCGTCTTGATGAGCTGATTCCAAATCTACCTTTCCTTTGCTACGACCTCTTCTATAAGAAGCTATGGGCGTTCAAAGATGTGAGAATGTTAGGATTTTGATGCCTAATGCGCTTAGAAATTAGCTTAGGAGTGATAATTTGGCATGCTTTGGATACACTGACTACAAGAAATGCATACATACACCGAATATATGAGAAAGAGACTTTGAACAAAGTAGTTCTTGAAGATACGGCGCTGAATGTTTGCTAAATTTGGACATTTAAACGCCCATAGCTTCTTTTAGAGAAGCTCGTAGCAGATAGGAAAGGTAGGCTTGGAATCAGCTCATCAAAGCGCATCTAATGATATACACATCATTTCTGTTCGCCACCACTGCGATCTGGTATCCTTCCCTTGCTAGATTAATTGGACAGATATCATTCGTGCATTGGAGTTTCGTATTCATACAATGGCGTTCAATCTGTTTTTATCAGTATGCGGCAATTGTCTGCAGAAACTTCACATTCGCTGCTTTATACGGCAGTGAGCTACGTACCGGACTTTCGAATCAGGCTCACACTGAAGAAGATTCACTACAAACATTGCTGACAAAGAGGTTTATCATGGTAACAGAGATATAATGAGTACGAGTATTTTCTGGAACAAAGAAATCATATGTATACCAATGCCTGTAGTCCCCAATTTACAAAAAGAATAAGAACAAAGAAGATACATTAGCAGCAGCATCATCGCATTGATAATCATATACTTACAGAGGGAGATATATACGAAATAATCATTTAGACGTATGAAGTTGAAGAAGTTTTTAACATTGAGTGAGATGAAATGCAAACACCACTTCGACATGTCCGACATCATCTGTGTTTCCTATCCAAATTTGATGCTCTCCTTTCTCAATCCAATGCTGCGGACAGCCTGGCAGATATAAGCGGAAGTTCGGTGATTTCACTGATGTGTATTGACTCTGCTGGATCAGCTGCTTACATCCCTCCCTTCCCAAGCAAAAGTTCCCGTAAAGCAGCAATTTCTTTCTGCAGACGTTCAGCCTCCAACCGCAGAAAAGCATTTCGTTTTTCCAGCCGCTCCTCTTCCTAAACTCAATCTTAGGCGCGAATAACCAAGAAATCAGGCGACTGCAAGTACCTGCTTTTCTGCCGACTTTACAGTTCGCTGTTTCTCACGATAGCGCTGTGCAGCAATTCTGTTCTGCTCTCGTTTTCTCCTACTGATCTCTTCAAATGACATATTTGCTAGTGGCACTCCTTTGGCTCTCTTTGGTACAGGAGCATCCTGCAAGCTTCGTTGATCAAAATGTGATAGATTGCTCAGCTTATTACCGAATTTAGGGCTGATGTGACGCGATAACCAGTTCTTTTTTCTAAGCTGACAGCAAGCAATGTAAAAATGAAGCAAATCGAGTTCAAAAGTCTTCAGTAAAAGGTTGGTAAAATGGATAGATCACTAGCACATGCCTTAAGATTGACTCGTTTCCTTTTGCATTTGACTTCGTTCTTCTCCACAGCTTGTACAACAACCCTGTATTCCTTGCCATCTTCTCCGACTATAGTAACGGGTTGATTTACAGCGAGTGTGATGACAGGAGTTGCTGGCTGAGAAATTTCAGCAGATGATGAAGTGGGACTGCAGGCCAGCTAAAATCCATACATTTATCAAAACCTGAGAACTTGATTATTATATTCGGATGCCTAGCCGTGAATGGTCAGAACTTAATCCAGCCATACCAAACTGTATATGACTCGTCTTGGAAACGCTGATCGAAAATATATGTTTATATTATTTTCGATCAGCCTGAGAACTTGATTATTATATTCGGATGCCTAGCTGTGAATGGTCAGAACTTAACCCAGCCATACCAAACTGTATATGACTCGTCTTGGAAACGCTGATCGAAAATATATGTTTATTATTATCTGCCAAGCGACTATCTGGGAGGAGTCATGAGCGTTTGAATGTGCGAACTGCCGAGTGTTCTGTGACACATGTTCCACGAAAGGTTTAAAAAACAATTATTTAGGTTTTTGGTGAAAGCGTTTTTTCCTTGTAACTGAAAAAACAATAGCCACTCTAAATCCGCACCATCAGGCTGCCTTTTAAGTAGATACATTCGTTAAAAACTCGAAGAATTGCTCATATTTGAAAGCTCATAACTCCTCCCAGATAGTTGCTTGGCAAATAAAAACATATATTTGAAATCAGCGTTTTGAGATGAGTCCGATGATGTACAGCTTGTTTGAAATGGTTGGGTTAAGTTTTAATACTTCCTCGTTAGCTGTTCCAGCAAATAAAAAGAAAAGAACGAGAAACAAGAATGTCCTTGTGTCACAAAGACACTTCAGGCGAAATTTCATCAAGTGTTAGTTCTGTAAAACTAAACAGCTGCGTAATCAAGGTCAGTGTCAACGAGAAAGCTGACCTTTTCAGCCTCAATCTCCTCTCGGACGGTTTTGTGAATCTCGTCTATGAATGAGTAATCAAGAGCCTGATCGATGTATTTGAGCTCTTGTGGTGAAGTGCCCGGAAGAGATCCATCTGTAATGTGAAGCTTTGCCACAAGTACAACTGACAACAAATACTGACCCCTTCCATACGATATGTCAATCCCAAAATCGTCGGCATTGTGAGAGCAAATAAGATGAGAGAAGCTCGAGTCGGAGTCATAGCTGAAAACAGCATAGTATGTGTGAAATCTGGCTGTGGGAATTTGAAATCAGCAATGACTTACTTGTCGCTTTGCGAGCCTTGCTCACATGCATCAGGTGAGAATGGTTTTGCAGATAGATTGGGTGTAGAGTAGAAAGTATTGTCATATATACAAGAATCATGATTATACAATGGTGAACGCGTGCTGCTAGGTTGATGTTCTATTGCTGAGTAGCTAATGAGAGGCGACAAAATGCTAAATAATTGCCAAATAAGCTTGCAATAAGGTCGACAAGAAATAGTTCATCACATACCTGTCCGACTGGAGGGTATCCTGGGAGATGATAGGAGTGTGGCCCTCCGATAATACAACATTTTGGTTTGCCGATACCAAAACATGACGGGCATTTACCAGACTAAACGTATTAGGTGAATGAGCTTCGCAGGAGGTTTAATGAAGCGGCAGATCTGAATAACTCACCGAGGTGGAGCGTCGCATGGAGGTGATGTCAGAGCTTTCGCAGCGGGTGGTAAGAGCGGTGAGGGTTGAGGCCCGCTTAAAAATACACTTTCTTTCCGTATCAAACGCGGAGCATCGACGATTAACCCGCTGACTGCCACGAACGTGCTGAGGGATTTCCTGAAAATGCCATCTATCTGTCTCAAAATCAGAAGTGGCCACCTAGGTTTACAGGACCTTAGTCCAATCTGTTAAAGTGTCAATACAGCTGCGATTCAATCGTGTAAAACCTTTGTTTATCGAGTATCAAAATATCCATGTATATCGTTTTGTGTAACTCTCCAGTTTCAAAATTCAAAGGTGAATTTTTACTTGACCTTTGAATATAGTCAGATATGCCATAAAGAAAAAAAACGTCCCAAAAATTGTGCGTTTGATTGTTAACAACTTTCTTGTCATGTTTTTCGAGAAGCTTTAGGTACACATCTTTTCTAGAGCTGGCTTCAACTTAGATTCACAGTATGGAGCGAATCGCCGGTCGCTCTTCATTATTCTAGCATTACAGTAGGAAATTCCGGCATACTGTCACTGTGTAAAACTGCTGTTTTAATAATTTCAAAAAACCCTGGAAACCTGTGTGACAGGGCATTCATACACGATGAGTTCAATACTCATCTTCAAACAAGAGAAGCTTTCTAAACAATGTAACCATATTTTGTAGGAACAACGAAATACGGCTGCCATTGCTTACTTGGCATAACCCTCCAGGAAGGTTAATATGATGAGAAGCAAAATTCACATCAGGATTTTACGTATTAATCAACTCCTATAAAAAATTTGTGAATTTATACGTAGTGTATATAGCTCCCCTAATCTGCAATATTTCATCGAAAATACCCCTTATATAAACAGCCAATCATGCTTGCGTACGAACGTTATCGACCTATAGGCTGCTGCATGACGAAGGCGCACTACGCGCACACCGCTTTATTAGCAGCAGAGCACAAAAGGCGCAAGATTTAGAACGGTGAAGATATGCCCGCCTAGCGTCCGCGCCCGCTCAACTAATACTGCTTCTGTGCCTTCGTAATGCAATAGCCCTTACAGGGGCTATCTTAGCTTGGTGTGACGGACAATCTCATCGTCATCGTTGTGAGATCTTACATGTGTAACTAACTTAGCAGGTGCCTGAATGTGCGCTATTATGTAGGTGGATCTAGCGCAACGCTCGTCGAATTCAAGCTCTAACCTCAAATCCTCTTCACCCTTGTTTTGCTGTAAGGGCAGATTAACTTACCATGAATGTGGCGAGAGAGGACTCGTCGGCGCACCAAACGCCGCACGTGTCTACAGTAGCGCTCGACAAGATTACGTCGTTGAACGAGTCTAACCCTTCTGCGCTCGAGAAACATAAAGATTCACTCATTCTGAAATGAAACATAAGTGCAGGTGAGATGAAAGTTCTTACAACCTACTTTCTTTGTTGGTTAGCTTGGAACGTAGCAGTGAAGAAAGCAAGATTGCCTGATTAAGTTTGAAGCTGAAACATGTGATTGTGTTCGCGAAAATAAGAAAGGCATGATGAGAAACACGAAGAGACAATGCGTGAATTTATTCAGCAAAGCGTTGACGAGCTAATCTCAATAAAAAGTTTAATGAAAGTTTTCTACAATTCAAGTCTTGAAATAAGCACGGAATGAGGTCAAAGATGGAGAGCAGGTCAGAAGATCAGGAGTTGATGGGCCTCTCAACCGAATTAAAATTGAAGAGATGCTTGATAAGGACGTCAAACATATATAGATATACCGCAAAATCACCATACAGCTGCATTTTTTGAGCGTATAACATCCATGATAATCCCATCAAGTAATAACCAGAAAAACTGGTTATAATCGTTTGATTTTCCCAACAAAAAGGAACTCGTGTATCAAAAAGGAAACTCATTAAGCCAACGTTCCAATTTTCTCGACTGACCATGTTCACTCCAAGCACTACTGCCGAAAGTTCGATTTGGCCCAACCCCCTAAATGTTTGTTTTATCCCCAGTCACGAAGTATGATTTCAAGGAAAAACTGCGCAAGAAAAGTACAACAGATGATTTATAAAAGATCGAATGAGAACGCGTCATGAGACGATAAAATCGATGTGACGCCCACGACCGCGACGCCGGCAGCTGCACGCGCCACAGAAGAACGAATCCTTTATCGACCAGCGCTGTGATGATGCAATAGTGGAACACCGCAGCCTGGAGCTGGGCGGGTAGGGGGGAGGGGGGACATCTGAACTTGCATATCCGCGCTTTCTGACGGACTTGGGTTCGTGGCGGCGAATAAAATGCCGAAGGATCCCCAAACAGCGCTAAGCTAAGAGAAGTCCCACCCCATTACGGAGTTTTGTGGGGCAACCAAAAACAGAGCTTGGCCTAGATCAAAATACGCTGAGAAGATTTGAGAGCTCAGCATGGAGTCTGAAAAAAAACGGCCCCAGGAACATCAGTTGGATACAAATTTCCGCAGATCCTCGCTCTCCACCCCCTCCTCTCGCAATGATACTTACCACGTCGAGCCATATACAGGGTTTATCAAACGCAGTGTCGCTTGCATCACATCTCCACTCCCGCGCTGGACTCTGCTTCTCTTCCGCGAACATGCTCTCTGATCACTTTCCCAGGGCGAGCATGGGAAAGGCGAAGCCTCAATCGATTGGAAGTGATTGAAGAGCATGTTCGCGGAAGAGACGCAGAGTCAAGCGCGGGAGTGGAGATGCTGATGCAAGCGACACTGCGTTTGATAAGCCCTGTAACTGCTCTCCCACCTCCAACTCCTAGCTTAGCCGTGTCACTTCATACCGGAGGGTTTTTGTTGGCCACAAAACCTGCGCGGCGGCGTACATATAGGGGCCTGCAGGATCGCGAGAGTCGGACGTGCGTACGGCCATTGCGCCGCGCACGTCAGAACTGCGTGCGACGGCCCAGGTAAGTGCCAGACTTATCCTGTTGAACAGGTTCATTCGGTTCACCACCTTTGCTGTTGGACAGTGTATTGATTTGACCTATGAACGGAACGAACGGCTGAAGTGGATAAGTCTGGCACTTGCCTTAGTGACATCGGACGTGCGCGGCGCAATGGCCGTACGCACGTCCGACTCTCGCGATCCTGCAGGCCCCTATACCTCTCGACGTGCAGCCGCGAACAGAAACAGAGGGCACTATCAAAGCAGTCGTGGAATGGACGAATATCTGCTACTATTTCTTTCGTGCTAATTTCGTCCTCCTGCACCGCGTAACGTGTTGCTCCGGATTACATTTGGATCACAAGCAAGGATGAGGTGGAACAGCTTATAGGTAGCGTCCCGGCAAGGTAGGGAGCTGCGCTTTTGTAGGATGTTATAGTAGATCCGCTACCTAAGCAATGGCTGAAGTTCGGAGTAAAGGGGATCTGCTAAGCCTAAGATTTGCCCCCAAATTGGCCGACCTTACGCTAGGCCCAGACGACCTCTTTTCGAACTGCAAGGCTGGCGCGTATGGCGGTGGGCATATCTCGCGTCTCTACAGGCCCCGTAAAATCCAATTGCCCACGCGTCGCTTTGAACACCAAGGCGCGGCGCGGCTGGAAACGTTTGGTCCCGAAGCGCTACAGGCTTTTTGCGAGCGACAATGAGCGCGCACACTTTCCACACATATTTTTTAAACTTGTGAAGGGAGCTTTCGTCAAGGTATACCTTGCATTGACGAGAACAACATGAAAGCTGAAGAAAGATTTCTTGGAATATAGTGAACGTCGACAGTCGTTCGCGACGACCGCTCGCTTACGCTGGTGTTCAAGGCACGGCGCGGGCAATTAGGTTTTACGGCGCCTATACATACCTCTTGATACATGCTCTGCAAGCTGCACAGTCGGAGTCGGGACGGATAAGCCCAAGTAAGCGGGAAATCCTTGAAAACAGGTCCGGAATGCTGCGTTTTATGGACCAAGAACTTGGCTGCATTGGTTGAAAAATAAGTTTATACTATGTCTAACTTTGACCAGCGCACCTCGTATGCGACAGCATCCGCTTTGCCAAGTTTCTACCGCGCGAACCCGCTGCAGTACGCCGCATCCCGCCTGAATATCTGCTCAAAACCGTCGAGTGAAGAATGAAAGGGAAAAAAGAGATATGGTTGGAAATAGATACCCATTCTTGAAGCACGAGTGAAATATTGCACAATGTCCTTGTAAGTTGTAAATTTGAATGTAGTTGTTGGCATGCGCATCTTTTCAGGCGGGTACCGACGGTTACAGGCGGGTGGTGACGAATGCATGCGGGTTTGGTTAGTTGCGGTGGGTGGCGACCACAAGCGCGTCTTGAAAACTGTCTTTACTAGAGTAAAAGCTAATCGAAGACGAAGGTGGCCGTTCATGCGCGCGGGGCGGGTGCGGACGTACAGGGCTTTTCAACCTGAGAGTCGCAAGTTTCGCTTGCGCGGCTCCTCCAACGCGGCCGCCTCGCTCAGGCCGCGCGCGGCGTTTGCTGCGTATCGCCCGGATTTCGCCAAGCTTCAGTCGACGCGCAGCCAGCGCCACGAACGCTGCGCGGACCTAAGCGTGGCGTCCTAGCGGGGCGGGTGGGAAACTCAGGTTGTAAAGCCCTGTACGAATTCCCACGGTAAGGGATACTCGAATACGCGGGTCGCAGCCGCGTCGCACATCGAACTGATCGCTTTCGTCATAGAAGAGCTTTACCGCATGTGACGCAGCGTGCCGCGTTGGTCCTGTGCCAGGCACGAGACCGTCACGCGGACAGCCTTGGTCGCAGCCTTAAAAGAAATTTCCGATAGAGATGTCTGCGAAAAAGCCAGTTCTCGAAAGTGCACCAGCGTGGGATGTCGCACCGGAGAACACTAGTGCAAGGGCGTTGCGCTCGCTTCGTCACAGCGTCTGTCGGGAAAGGGACGCAAAAAAGGGCTCCCATTAATATTCGTTTCAAAGGGCGACTTTAAATAAGTTGTGATTGGAAAGCATCGCACAATTCAAGCTGTGGGTCCTTAATTATTAAAAAGAAGTATGCTCTGGACTTCTAGGAACAGAGCATAAAACAAAGAGCAAATGAAACCTGCTCATTTTAGCACAGCAGAAGCCGCTGTTTTGCGGCCATAGCCTCTAGATCTAGATCGAACCTGGAGCTGGATCTGTTGGTCTTGTTAAACTGCGCCCTAACAACTAACGAAATATTTAAGTACACTCGAGTAGATTTCCCGCCCGCTTACTATAATGTGCTTACACAGAAGGTGAAATGCGGTAAAATTTGCGCGTAAACAAATAGTTTCGACTGTGACGCCGGCCAACTGCGGGCGCAAAATGCCGGTAGCATTGGCGTGGCTACTTCTTCACGCGCAAATTTTACCGCATATCACCTTCTGTGCAAGCACACTATATTAAGCGAAAAATCTACTCGACGAAGTGGACCATCCAAAAACGTTGGTGAAAAAGTGTGAGATTTCACGGAAATGGTTGTGGTCCTCGAAATTCTTGGAAATTGGCCACAGCATAGCAGAATGGAAGACCTGCAACCACTGCACCGACAACCACAGACCGCACTCAAAGGTGGAGAGTCAGCTGTTTGCAGCGAAATCACCGCTCCGCTCGTACAGATATTCCAGAGAGACCGGTTGTAGAACATATCCTTGTCACTATATCAGATGTCGGACGCAATTAAGGCTAGAAACATCTAGTCGGTAGCTGAATAGGGGAAAAGAGAAGTTGAAGAAGTGTTTAGATTGAAATCGTTGGCGGGAAACTCAGATGTCTTTACATACTAAAGACTTGCTTCTATAGTTGTCTACTTTTTACCTGAAGGTTACTTTGAGTTGTGAGAACAATATGCGGAAAAGACAAATCAAGCTTATTCATTCCGCTTTTGGCCTTTGTATTTGGATGAGCTGTATAATTTTGGAACATAGGGTGAGCTTATAGCCCGAGCCTAGGTAATACGTGCAAGTCATTCCCGCATTTCTGTCATTGAAATTCCCACTACATATATACCTTCTGCTAGATTCTGTCCTCTTCTTTATGCATCATCTATTCATGAAAAAAAAGTAAACCAAATCTCCGTCACTTTGGCTCATCGAAGGAAGATTATGCCTTTGCAACAAACCGTTTTCAAATTGTTGAATACGATAGCATGAGATACAGGGCTTATCAAACGCAGTGTCACTTGCATCAATATCTCCACTCTAGCGCTGGACTCTGCATCTCTTCCGCAAACATGATCTCTGATCACTTTCCCAGGGCGAGCGTGGTAAAGGCGGAGGCCTGGGTGGAGGAACGAACACTTCAATTAGGCACCGCCTCCGCGGACTATTGGTAACACGATGCACATAGGCCGTCCGCGCTGAGCGCGGAGAGTGCGCAAGGTGTGCACTGCGTGTCACTTCTCTTCCTTCGTGCACTTTCGCCGCCTGTTTTCTCTGCGTCTCTTTCAGTCATGAACCACCTTCAGTGGACGCAACCGCGTTGCTCTCCGAGCACAGCGCGGACGGCCTATAACAGTAGGACGAAAGGAACAGCAGCCCGCGGAGGCGGTACCTAATTGAGGTGTTCGTTCCTCCACCCCGGAGGCCTCAATTGATTGGAAGTGATTGGAGAGCATGTTCGCGGAAGAGACGCAGAATTCAGCGCGGTAGTGGGGATGCTGGTTCAAGCGACACTGCGTTTGATAAGCCCTGTATAAGGCATACGGAAAATCGTGACGATGGCGCAACCTCGCGCGACCCACGCACTTTCTTTGTTTTTTAAATCTCTATTCGAAAGGTTTTTCTGCTTACATATGATAGTTTTTGGGCAAAAGAGGTGGCTGCGATGGGCGTTAAGGTGCGTTTTGGTTGAGTGTTTATCTTGTGGACGCAATGACCGCAGTCAAATCCGTCGTCATGATTTTATAATAACCTGTATTTTCTAGCATGTTTGGTTTATTACTTCTAGGACAGAACTTATTTGGGGTTGAGCGGAGTAGCACATGTATAGGCGATTCATTGCATGCAAAAACTGCGAACGTATTCGCGTCTCTCTGATCAAGCGCCATCTCGTTTCTCTTACCATCTGCTGTCTCCATGCACGAGCTATGCTGGTCGGACGCAACGACGCCCATCCGCCCCCGTCTCAGCGTCATGAATCGCCGATATGTGCGGTGACCCTCAAAGAAGCGCCGATCAAGAATAAGCAATATCTCCTACCCCTCCTTCCCCCCCCCCCCCCTCCTCCCTATCTGAAGATTCAGGCATGTCCATTCTGAGCCTCTGCTACTGCTTTAACAAAGATGAGTTCGTGGTGAACCAATACAAACCTTCGTTATCCGGACAGCATATCTTGGGCTTGTTTCAGACGGCCGCACTGACCGCAGCAGACTACAGCTGCCGCAACAGACTGCAGCAGACTGCATGACCGCACTGACCGCAAGGGCCGCACAGATCGCTGCATCCTTTTGTAAAGGTGGAGAGGATAAATAGTTGTAGCCCAAACAATCAACAATTATATATGCCTAGACCCAAAAGACGACGAGCGAGTAAAACAGGAGTATGCAATAACTAGAGAAATCAGAACAAATATGAGCATACAAAGAAAAACAATCGCCAAAATTTGATTGAGAAGAGTAAGTTAGAACCTATGAATGATGTAATCGCAATTGTTTTCTCTAAATGATGCAGCGATTTGTGCGGCCATTGCGGTCAGTGCGGTCAGTGCGTCAGTTGCAGTCTGCTGCAGTCTGCTGCATTCAGTGCGGCAGTATGAAACAACCCTTGGATCGACCTCAATCAGGAACTCATCAAAGAAGTGATTAACACGTTGACGACCGTGTGCATCCGCGCGTGTGCACACCCTGACCACCTTCTAGCAATTTCGTGCATCAGTTTTTCATGTGTAAACGAGAAGTTCTAAGGTAACTTCTGTGCGTGGATAATACTGGTGGCCTGGTTGCCACATAGAAACAGGACATTGCGGTAGCTGTTAAATAGTCTAAACCGCAACCGTAGATCATCAGTCCATTTTGATGTGGTCAAAAACGGCTCGGTCGTCAACGTGTTAATCAGGCAGCGTCCCCTCAAAATGATGGGTACCGAGATTTTACAGTGTTGCGATGGTAGACGCTCTAACTAATCCATTAGTGGAGTTTGGAGCGAAAAAGAAAGCCCAAAATCCGCTACGGAAGTCTTAGACGCCGCCCATTTCCAGACTCCGCCCACTTCTTACACGTAATTTGGAGCGAACGCAGACATGGAAAGCTTTGGAAAAGCTCATTTTTGCCGGTTTCAAGCGCTGAAAAGCTCAGATATGGCTTCAGCATGGCAAGAAGGCTCCGGAGATGAAAAACCGGAGAGCAAAATTTTGCCGGGACACTGCCATCAAGCTTAGCTCAATAAACAAAAAACCGACATAGTGTACAGTAGGAAACCCTTTGCATCGTTTTGATCTACCTACATGATTCTTTCCCTGGAATCAGCGTAGAGGCTAAGAAGGGACTTACTTTCCAACATTGAAAGGCCCTCAGTCAAAGGCAGTTTCCCGGCAGATTTTGCATTTTCATTTTTGTGCCTGTTTCAGACCTTTTCGACACCTAAACCCGAACTCGTGCTTTAAACTGGATGAAAAGACCGTTTGTAGGGCGTTTACATAACTTCCAAAAGGCAGCTCGGACGCAACGGGAAATGTTGTTTGTTTTGTTTTACCATAGGAACTTCCCTATGCAATAAAAAAATAAAAAATAAAAAAAATTGGAAAGCCCAGGCTGCCGCCTGTAGTTTTTGCTTTGGATAGTATGCACAATGCGGGAGCGATCGTGGGGTCCCGCGCAATAGGTAAGCGAAGCCGTTCAAGCGCGCGCCAGATAGGGTACGCGCGCCGGTTCGGGGGCTATTTTCTCGGCGCAGGGGTAGCATCAACCAGCCGGACTGGGCATGGGCGTGAGAAGAATGACTAGGAACACCACGACTATATCCCACAGGGCGCAAGTCTGCGGAACGGAAGCCATTAAGTTCATACAAGTGAAGAAACATGGGAGGACGGTGGGTGTGGTGTAGAAGTCGACAATCCCCATGTGCCACTATATGGCAACTTTGACTCTAGGAGCAAACACAACACGTCGCTATCAACGTTTATTGTGACATGGAGGAAGCTTACAACAGAAGAGCCCCGTTAACCCCCGAACCCGCCCGCTTTACTGCGGGTTGATTAATGTGTGGGTCGGTTCGGCCATAATACGTAGCAAATAGCCGCACACAAACTTTTGTTTTGATCCACTAATGTGGTAAATATACCCCGAAATTCG